GAATTCAAAGTTGAACAATGCAGACGCCCTTTTATGGCGAATATTTTAATATTTTTAGCCATTTAATTTTTTTCCGTGCAACCCTGCGTGAGTTGAACACAAAAGTTGCCTGAAAAATCGCCTCGTGCGAAAGCCCCATTATGTAAACGACCCTTGTAAACATTTATATTGAATAACATCAAGAGTTTTAGAATCTGTGCGATAAATGTCGAGATATATGGATTTGAAGTGCTGCGTTTGACCTTTGACTTTGCGTAACCGTAGTTGTCGTTGCCCCCCAAAAAAATTATACCGTTATACTTGCGTCAAAAACCTATATCGACGCCCAGTTACTTTTTTATTTTTAGCGTCGTTGAGAGCATTGTGCATACATCAAAGTGACAAGTGTTCTTCTTCTGCTTGGAAACCGCCTGGAAAATACATAGAAATATCCTGTAAAAAGGTAGAAATAACCTGTCAAAATGTTAGACAGGGTGTTTAAAGGGATGTAGAAAAAGACTAAAGTTATTGAAATAACCTTAAAAATTGGCAAAATATGCATTGATTTAAATGAATTCCCATGTTTACAGCAGTTTAATATATTAAAGCATTTTGGTCAATGACTCCTAAACTTAATAGAACTTTTCTTGCTGGTTTTGTCAAAGTCCGTTTAAAGTTTTTTTTTATATATATTGAGTGTAACCCTGTAGCACATAGAATCAGGTGATCTCAGCTGTGAGGCATTTTGGGAAAACATCTGATTTTTTTTCACTTGTAAGTAGGTGTGCGTATCGGCAATGAAAATTCGGTATATCGATATCGCGATATTCTAAACTTGTTGTTGCTGTTGTAGCGGCTACAACAACCCCGCCCAGATCGGTTGGTATCTCAGTCGTTGTCGTCAAGTTCCACTAACGGCAACTTCTATTGGGTTGGTCCACAAGGACAAAGCCGGTAGGGTTGTCCGGTTTTCCGGGCATGCGAAGAGATATTTCCAGTCATGTGGGGTCTCTCCGCATGCCGGACGCTCATTTGGCACATCCTCACTCAATCTACTTTGGTGGGAGTTCAACCTGCTGCAGTAACCAGAGCGGAGTCGGGCTATTGTCGTTCGTGTCTCCCGAGGCAGATGAAGCTCCGTCTCGTCTATGTCCGGGGGCGGTATGCCTAGAACGGCATTCACAGGTCTAGAGTCTACATAACTCGAGACTGACTCCCTGTGAATGCCGTTCAGGGCCAGTCGGTAAGCTGAAGGGTCCAGAGGTTGCTTGATGAACCTCTGGACTTCGTCCGTCAGTTCATATAGATATTCTAAACTCATAGTATCCAATACCGATATATCTACTAAAATAATATCGATATATTGAATATCGGAAATATCGAAAACGAAATGGTTAATAAAGATATATTGTTTATGAAACTACATACATATACTTGGAATTAAAATGCAAATAAGCCTAAATTAAAATAACGAAGTTACTTTGGATAAGTACCTTCAAAGAGACACACCTTTTCATACGTAAAGTGACGAGCAAAACTGTAACATGGTGTAACACTTTTTATTTCAGCCACCGCTATCTTTCCAACTTCTAACGACTTTCATACTTTTGTTGTATATTCTTATTGGTACACTCCTGCTTCCTCTCTCATAAATATTTGAAGTCAATCCAACAACAATAATAAAACCAGCAGACAAAAATGTAAATTAAGGCATATGTTACAGTTTTGCACTTATATATTTTTAATAACCTTTTGAGAATTTTCACGAAAAAAGAGAATTGTAAACACAATGTTCAATATACCTTTTTTTAGTTCCTGGATGCAATTTGGCATACCTTATTTGTATCTGTAAAAATTCTGGAGGTTTAGCCTCCCATATATCCTTGGTTTGCTTTCATAGCTCATGTACTCCATTGGACGGACTTGCATACGACATAGTTGCCAACTTGGTGCTTTAAGCACTAGATTTAGTGTTTTTTGAAAATTAAAACGCCAAAAAAAACTATTTAGTGCCTAGTGCCTTTTTTAGTGCTTTTTTTCTGAACTAAAATTACTTCGAGATAGTTAAAACCTGAAATAATTTGAAATATTTAAGGCTGTGGCAGCACTGAATTTACAAGAAACTCACCTTTTTAAATTCTATTCGCGTTGAAAATGCTAGTACGCAAGTAAGTTAAGTATTTTTTTCTTTTCTAATTATTTGTAAAAATTTTTTTTTTTTTACCACCTGAGTAAAACACATCGTTTCTTGGTGCTAAATCCAAATCTGGCCTCTTGCTCCAGCACTAGAATTTTGAGATATCCTAACCTCAAAGTGCCAAAAACACGGTTTTTAGCGATTTTTGAGGTTATATAATGAAAACATCAAATTATTTGCTCATTTCTAATTAGGGCATTATTTTCGTTTGATGCGATTCGATTTTTCTTTCTCGAGATATACCAGATTTAATGTGAAGTACTTCGGTATTACGTTATGAAAAAAGCATCCCTTGATTCAAACAAATTTGGTGCTTTTAGTGTGGTAAAACGCTTTTTTCCAAGTTTTTGGTGCTTTTTGAAAATCAAAAGATGGCAAGACTGATTTTCGACGAGATTCATATCCGCGGATTGTGGAGGTAATTTCAAAATAGCAAATTTTTGCTTTGCATCCAGTCTTTTCGAACATATGCAGTATGTTTTGGGTGATTTTTCAGCAGAAACTCTCATTTTTCGACTACATCTTGCAAATTTTGTTGAAATATGAATAGGTACTGTTCTTTACGCATAATGCGTATTAACCGACCAACAATATTTTTGAAATACAACCCCGAACTATTATTGACCGACCACTGTGATTCACAGTTTGCCTCACATGATGCGCTTAAGCTTAATTTGGGTCTTTGATCCAATACCATGCCCGGCCATCTGATTGAAAGCGATTAATTTAGTCTTGTCGGTCCAACTAACCTTCAATTAAATCTTAAAAATGTGTTTCTTTATTGCATTCTGTAAGGGCTAACGTATCCCAATAGGCAACGGTCCGGTTTTCGTGCGATCCGGCAAAATGATACCACTCTCGCACATGTATTTTGATCAAAATGGTTTTTCTTCTTTTATTATGCCTTTGCGTTCAATTTGACAATTCTTTGCCTCGCTGTCTACTGATTCGCATTCAATTTTAATACCTTAAGCGCTTCTGTGATAGTGGCTGCGCGCTACTTGCTACTACATTCACAAGATATCGGACCGTAATATTTTTTGGCAAACTTACTTTGTCCTTAATAACATTTTAAATCTATTATTTACATTTATGTTTCCTGATTAACCATATTAATTACTGGTAATCACTTCTTGAATAAATTACAATACAGAAAAAAGTCATCTGACTTCCAACTATGCAAAAGATAACTGTAAAATGCAAAACTGAGTGAGTGCAAAAATGTAACATTGGCCTTAATTTACATTTTTGCCTGCCGGTTTTATTGTTGTTGTTGGATTGACTTCAAATCTTTATGAGAGGGAGCAGGGGTGTACCAAAAAGAATATACAATAAAAGTATGAAAGTCGTTAGAAGTTGGAAAGATAACGGTGGCTGAAATAAAATTGTTACACCATGTTACAGTTTTGCTCGTCACTGTATGTATGTACTGTGAAGTACAAATTTTGATTTTTATGAATTTTTGTTTTTCATGCTTACTATGCCAAAAGAACAACAAATTTTTCCAACTAGTCAATTTTATTCTCAATTCAGAAGCCCAGAGTAGGAAGAGAAAAGTTTCCGATATTTCACATATCGAAACAATATAGTATCGCAACTCGTGATATCGATATAATTAATCGATATGAACAACGATGTTGATATATTGAATATCGCATCGGTATCGCGCATCCCTACTTGTAAGTATGTACTAGAGGTGTCAAACTATCGATAGTTTTCAGAAAAACTATCAATATTCACGATAGTCTCGAAAAAAACAAAACTATCGATAGTGCTCTAAATCAGTTAGGTTGCTTTGTTTTTACAGGATCATAGTGAAATAAATATTATCTTATAAAAGTTATAATCATTCAAAATTAAGTAACTGCTTAGCCAAAATACTTCTCCTTTTAGGAAGTTTAAAAACAAACACAAGTTATACAAACAAAACAGGATTTACGATTAACATATGTATAATTTCAAAAAAATTGGGAGATGATCGATAGTCCTACTAAACTATCGATGTTTTCGATAGTATGGCTGCATTTCTTTATCCATTCTGAACGTTTGGAATAAACTTTTTTGTTTACTTATTCTTTAGAACGTTCCTGATGATATGTTAACGTATATTTCAAACGCATTCTGTTTATTCCGGTAGTGATATGGGATTATCCGGAATGTATAAAGAAACGCAGCCTATATGAAAAAACTATCAATGAGTATTGATAGTCTAAAAAAATTTAAACTATCGATACTATCGATAGTGCTATCGATAGTTTGACAACTCTAGTATGTACAATGCAATGGTTCAGAGGGGAAAATCGGTATGCTCCTATGCGCGCTTGTTCTGTCCGTCAATTCTACTCTAAAGCCCAATAGCGATTATAAAAAATTAAGCATGGAATCTAGTCCTGACGTGTATACAGATATAGTAATTTATTTGTCTTCAGGCTTGGAAAAAACAAATGTTAATTGGCATTTTCCACAGTAATGACGATCTTCATGAGCAGCCATAAACACTCCAGCTCCACAATTTTCACCAGGGCACTCGCGACGAAGGCGATGTATTTTGCCATTTTCATCGACCTAAATGAAGTTTATTAATATCCTGTTTTACAATTCATCCTTCTCAGGGTAAGCATATTGTGAAGCGGCGAGCAAAACGTAAAAAGAGCACCTAGCATAGCGAAGAAAACAAAATTCGTTGAAAACGACGCTATGCTATTTTACTCTATCTACGTTTTGCTCTTTAGTATTTGCGCTCTCATAGACGCCTTGAGCATGAATGCGCCTTGGATACATCTTTACTACGTGCATACAAGTTTGAAATCGACACTTTGCTAGCCGCTTCACTATGTGCCTATAGGCATACCTTATAATATTTCAAAACCGCCAATTTGACCTTCTTCCTCTTATGCTTGATTTTCTTAGGTGTGGAGTAGTTCTTCTTCTTGCGCTTTTTAGCACCTCCCCTGAGCCGAAGTACTAAATGTAAAGTAGATTCCTTTTGAATATTGTAATCGGCTAAGGTTCGCCCATCTTCTAATTGCTTTCCTGCGAAAATTAGGCGCTGTTGATCTGGAGGGATCCCTTCCTTGTCTTGAATTTTCGCCTTAACATGCTCAATTGTATCCGAAGGCTCAACCTCAAGAGTAATAGTCTTGCCCGTTAGGGTCTTAACGAAAATTTGCATGGCTGCAGTTCTAAAATCCTAATAAAACAAAAAAGAAAATTTTAGGCCCACAAAAATACAAAATAAAAGAAATCTTTATGCAAGTTAAAATTAAATGCATTTCATTTATCCCATTTATTTCAAAGTTAACAGAAAGAAGTCTTAGGCTATTGTATGCTGTTCCATTTAAATAAGCAAAACTGCATTTATAACACCATCATTTTCGGGGTTGTTAGTTACTTGAGCATATTTGCCCCAGACAATTTTTCCAGTTTGCGTAACAAGTCCCAGATCAGAAATGTTTACTTCGATCACAGTTCCCTTTGTAATTACCCCTAATGAAGTTAACATCGTAGAACTAGGATTCTTTTTAACACCAATTATGGAAAGAAAAAATGTAGTTTTAAGTTCTGGGTGGGTAACATGAGCCTTGTTCATTCTGAGACCCATGGGTCTTATGAACCTTTCGAATTTTGGAGGTTTTCTTGTATAGTTTTCACCAACGTATGTCACTTTAGTCACCATTCGCTTCCAAGCCTTACGTTTAGTTTTTCCAGTTCTAACTTCTCTGAATACTTCGGCATCGGAATGAGCTCGCACTTTTGGTAGTGGAACATCCCATTTACCGGCCTTTTCTTTCCGTTTCTGCTTTATCATATTGGACAGGACCTTAGCATTAGCTTGTTGACCTCTATCCAATAAATAATGCGGAACTGCCCCTTCTTGAACACTTTCTTCTTGTTTCTTGCATTTTTTCTCCTGATGCGCTTTTATCTCCTTTGTAATTTGAATTTTCTCATTTCTTCTCTCTTTGTTAAATATTTTAGCTTTGATACCACGAAGTTTACGGGCTTTGCGTGCCCTTTCCTTTGGCAAGCGAGCTTCTTTCTTACGTTTACGTTCTTCATAATCTAATCGCCGACCGTACAGCTTAAAATGCCGTTCCATGTACTCATTTTGAGGCATGATGAATTAACTTCAAACTAAAAAATATGTAGAAGGCCACTACATCCAATATTATTCAGGCGCAACTCGTGATTATACCGCTATGTATTTACTTAACAGTTTACCGAATATCACATAAAATTAATTCGCCCCGCTTAAGAAAAACCAGTTCCCAGCTCAAAATTGCTTAGCAATTATCATTTGTAGAAAAACTCACCTACATACGCAAAAGCCACGATACGAAAAGGAAACTATTTCCGAAAAATCAACAGGAAGAGCATTATATTACACGAATTCCATAAACGCATTTTGCTTGTGTTTGTGGAAACCAAGTAATAAAATTGGCGGATTTGATTCGCAAATGTAGTACAACAAGGGTCTTCACAGCACGTTCCAACATGGTTTTAAAATTCTGATACATTTCTGACATTTTGGTTGACACTAATATTTTATTTATAGGGAATTTACATGATTCAACTTTCGCAGGCGATTAGTTGAACCAAAAGTTGAACGAAAGTAGGCAGCCGAGAAACTTCATTGAAAGCGATTAGTTGAAAGGCCGTTTACACCAGCCGATTGTTGCATTCAACTAAAAATCGCCTGAAAAAACGCCTCATGTAAATTCCCTATTAACTTGATTCATTTGGGGGAAGACTTTCCTTTACGGCCGATCGATGTGTGCGTGATGGGTGAAAGGGGAGGCCTTGTGGTACCTGCCACACCCAATTTCGGAGCAGGAATGAATTGCAGTTAACAAAAATGTTACTCCCGACTGCCTAGGCACCTTATAGATCTGTAGGGAGCCCTTACAAAAATGGGCAAAAATCACAAGGGGTCTTCCCTTAAACTCGTAGAAGCCTCGTAAACCTCGTAAAGCTCGTAAAATAACTGTAAAAATTTTTATGGAGCTCTATTTACGAGCCCCTCCGAAATTTACGAGGCAAATTTGATGCGCTAACGACCAATTTTCGGCATTTTTAATTGTATTTTCGCCAAGAGTGATAAAGAAAAGATGGTGGGATGTTATGGGCAATACTTGCTGCGAAACAAAAATTGCTGCACCAAATCCTGGTTGATTTGTCAAACAGTCACTTTACGCACCTATTTATATTTTTTCGCAAAGGGGGCGTTCCCATAAAACCCTCGTAAACCTAGCCTCACAATTTTTACTTTCGTGTGTTTTGAGTAGATGTAGGCTTGACTTGCACCGCTGAGTGCTGCATGAGAAGAGGGGGCCGCCAAGGGCACATAACATTTCTTGTGCATAAAGGCGAAGTCCCCAGGCTCCAGAGGATTCTGAAAAAATTCTTCTGCGTAGGCGGCCTTCGGTCGAGCTTAAGGATTATAACCCTTAGTAAGTAGGATTCTCCTTTCCGTGTTGCCTGAGAAGAGGGGCGGACGCCCCTCTTCCATTGTCAAGTGAGATTCTTTGGCAACGTGTACATGTGATAAATAACAATACCCCCCTACCCATTACGACGTAAAATGTATGATGAAACAATGAAAATAAATGCAAAGAATAATAAGCGAATAAAATGAATGAATTTGAACCCCTTACTGTATTGACTTAGAGTTTCTGCAAATTTTCGGCACTTATAATTGTATTTAAGCCGATATAGATAGATATAAGATGGCGGGATATTATGGAAAATACTGCGAAACCAAATTGCTTCACAAAATCCTGGCAGATCTGTCAAACAGTCATAAAAAAGCCTCGTAAACTTACGAGTTTTACGCAGTTTAAGACCTTACGAGTTTAAGGGAATTCCCTAAGGCCGTGGTTACGCCACCAATTTCTATTGGCAATCACCGTGTAATTGCTGTTGTCCACAGCACGTAGTGAGAGAATTTTCGAAATCGAACAGCCAGCATGATTTGCTGGGTGAACCGAACAGCCAGCACGCCATTTTGCGAAAAAGTATTAGTATTAAATATAAGAATAGTAATAAATATTTTTTATTATTATTATAAAGTAGATATTATAAAAAATCTATATATATAAAAATGAAATGTTTTTCGCATGACCGCGATGCGTGACCAAACGGCTGAACCGATTTCAAGTCTGTAAAAAGTACTTTATTGGACCAGCTGTGTGGAAGGTTTTTCGATTTAAAAAAATTTGAATTTTTTTGTTGTTGTTGCCGAAAAATGAAGAATGCCGAGACGTCACGATTTCACAATTTCATAGAGTTTTCCGTGTATTGAATGTCACTAAACTACTAAACGGCTGGACCGATTTCGTTCATATTTGGAACATATGTCAGCACCTTGAAGGGAAAAATTCCCACTAAAAATTCAATCGCTAGGTGGCGCTGGGGTTGGGATATTCCTAAAAATTGCATTTACTTGCCGATTTGGCTCATGTTTAGAATACAATTTAGCCAATTGAAAATAAATATTTGGATATAAAACTTACCCGATAGGTGGCCCGGGGCCGTGATATCCCCAAAAATTATTTTACGCAAAGAGAAGAATAGATATATGTACTATATATTTGTGGAATGTGTATGTATTTATGTATAGTTGCGTTCCAGATGCTTTACGATATTCACGAAATTCACGATTTGCAGGAACAGCAAAAATGCAAAGAATAAACCTTATGGTCACCTGGAACGACTTCCTGTAAAAACCTGCAAATCGTGAAGCATCTGGAACGCAACTTATGCATGTATGTGCCAGGTTGCAGTCGAAACGGACGGACAGAATCGAACAAAATTTTGACAGAGTATTGCCATGACACCTGGGCCTATAATAGGGTGAATAAAATTAGGATCCGACAAGGGAGCTTGGCACCTCCCATAAGCGTGAAATTTTTAATCAGCCATAACTTTCCGACCATAAGTCACACGAACTTGAAATTCGGTATGCAGACATATCAATGGTAGGTGCGCATAGGCAGATATATACAAACGAGTTTGTAAAAGGTGGGGTGGCACATCCCATAGGCGTGGAATTTTTTATCAGCTATAACTTCGCAGCCATAAGTCCCACGAACTTGAAATTTGGTATAAAGACATTTCAATGGTAGGTGCTTATAGGAGGGTATATATAAACGAGTCTGTAAAAAGGGGCGTGGCATATCCCACAGGCGTGGAATTTTTTTTCAGCCATAACTACGGAGCCATAAGTCCCACGAACTTGAAATTAGGTATGCAGACATATCAATGGTAGGTGCTTATAGGAGGGTATATATATAAACGAGTTTGTAAAAAGGGGAGTGGCATATCCCATAGGCGTGGAATTTTTTATCAGCCATAACTTCGGACCCATAAGTCCCACGAACTTGAAATTTGGTATGCAGACATATCAATGTCAGGTGCTTATACGAGGGTTTATATCAACGAGTTTGTAAAAAGGGGCGTGGCACATTCCGTATGCGTGAAATTTTTTATCAGGTATGACTTCGGAAACATAAGTTACATGAACTTGAAACTTGGTATGCAGACAAACCAATGGTAGGTGCTCATAGGCAGGTATATACAAACGAGTTTGTAAAAGGGGGCGTGGCACATCCCATAGGCGTGGAATTTTTTATCAGCTATAACTTCGGAACCATAAGACCCACAAACTTGAAATTAGGTATGCAGACCAACCAATAGTAGGTGCTTATAGGAGGGTATATGTAAACGAGTTTGCAAAAGGGGGCGTGGCACATCCCTTAGGCGTGGAATTTTTTATCAGCTATAACTTCGGAGCCATAAGTCCTACGAACTTGAAACTAGGTATGCAGACATTTCAATGGTAGGTGCTTATAGGAGGGTATATATAAACGAGTTTGTAAAAAGGGGCGTGGCATATCCCATAGGCGTGGAATTTTTATCAGCCATAACTTCGGAATCATAAGTCCCACGAACTTGAAATTTGGTATGCAGACATATCAATGGCAGGTGCTTATACAAGGGTTTATATCAACGAGTTTGTAAAAAGGGGCGTGGCACATTCCGTAGGCGTGAATTTTTTTATCAGGTATGACTTCGGAACCATAGTAAGGTATATATGAATCGCTTTGTAAAAGGGGGCGTGGCCTATCCCATATTCGTGGAAGTTTTATCAGCTATAACTTCAACACCATAAGTCACATGAAATTGAAATTTGGTGGCAGACATATCTATGGTAGGTGTTTATAAGGTAAGGTATATATAAATGGCTTTGTAAAAGGGGGCGTGGCACATCCCATAGGCGTCGAAATTTTATCAGCTATAACTTCAAAATGTATGCAGACATACATATATATGGGAGTTGTTTAGATTAATATATATATATATATGAGTAATGTATGAGGGCGATACATTGGTATTCATCAATTATGTATATTACTCGGATATTTAAAACTGTGTCTTAAAGCTTAAACAGACGACAGCGTTGATCCGGATTAACCCGGTCTTAATTTGGATCAACCGCAGTTAATTCCTGAGTTGATCCGGATCAACGCTGCCGTATGTTTATGCCTTTATAGTCTTTAGACCATTTCGAAACGGAAAGATTAAATCGTTTTTTTTTTGATCCCGCGATGCTGTTAAACAAAAAATTTTCATTCATAATGAATAAATCTCCTTCCGAAATAAGCATTCTACCGGAAAAGTGGCGCTGTTCTAAAACAGCTAAGCGAGTAGGCAGATAAACGGAATGTATAGTTTTCCTTTAATTTGTGCTGAATTGAATATTTGTACTACTGTTTTATATTTTGATTTGTTTACCCCGAACAACGTCGGGTGCTCTGCTAGTATTATTATAAAAATTAAATATTAAAGAAAGAAAAAATATTAAGTTCTTCCATTTTTAATTTTCTGAGTTAATATTTTTATGCGTTTTTAGTTGCATTTTTACTTCAGTGCTGCCATTATGTGCGAAATTGTATTAAATGGAAAAAGGCATTTCTTAAGAAGCAATCCTGTGCTCGCCAATCAGCAAACAGAGCGTAACCACTTCTCACCAATCACCGAAATTTTTCTCTTTTGATTGCCAATTAAAATTTGTGGCATAACCACGGCCTAAGGGATTAAATCCGGCAAAAATAGCCATCTTACAAATGCCTTTATCAAGATAAAAAATGCCCACGCACAAATATTGACTCTGAAAAAATGTATGTCAGGCAACAAATATGACAGTTGGTAGGCAAAACCTTTTGCTGTGTACATGTGATAAATAATAATTCCACCCTACCCATTGCGACGTAATAAGCGAAACAAAAGTAGTCATATATATATTTATATAGATTTTTTATATTAGTTAATCTTATAAATATTATAAATGTGAAAGTCTGTATGTTTGGATGTTTGGGAAATCAT